AATCAAGCGGAAGGACCGAGTTATTTCGAACTAATTGGAAGGGTTTATCATGAACGGGTCGCTCCGTCGGTCGCTCTGTTCCAAATCACTTCACAAATCTCAATTGTTGCTGCCTGCCGAAAAACCCCATGCCCCATACCCCTACCCGTGCCCCTACCCCTACCCCCACCAATACCCCTAGTCGTACCCATAACCATTAGATTTCCACATTCTTTCAGTGTTCAAGTTCGTAGTCGAAAGTTTTCCCATTCCGCTTGTCATGAACAGGCGCCAACTTTTCTCCTTTTTCGCAGTCCCATCCGTTTCGTTTCCATCAAAAAGCATCGAAATCGAACCAAAAATCTGCCAATAACACTCAAATGCTTTTTCGCCTCTCTCGCTCTCCATTGTGTATCTTTTGTATCTCTGTATTCGGGTGTGTGCCTGATTGTATGGGTATGGGTGTGCGTTTTTAGGTGTAGGTGTGTGTGTGTGTGGGTGTGGGTGTGTATGCCTGTCAACGTCAAACACTTCTTGTTAGCAAGTGTTATGTATGTTCACGCTGCTTTTCAATGCCTGCCCGCCTTCCCGCTTTCCCGCCTTCCCGCCTGCCTGCCTGCCCCTTTTGTCCGCTCTTTGTTTTCTGCTGCGTTGGCATTTTCTGCGGATTTTTCGTTTCGTTTCATTTTCATTTCTTTTTCTTTTACTTGTTCGTTTTTTCCGACTTCCATGTAATTTTCAACGCAATTTTCTTGTTGGCTGGGTATCTTACGCTCGCTCCTGTTTATGTTTGAGTTTCAGCATTTGAAAGTGTGCTTCAAAAACTTCACCAGGAGCAGGAAGCACAGCCACAATCCTGGTCGCAGGTCCCTGGTCCCTGGTCCCTGGTCGGGTGTCGATACTCGCAGCAGCCGTCCGCACGTGTTTCGCGTCTCCTTCAGCACCGTTTATGGCCATGCCTTCCTTCGCATGGACCAAAAGGTCGTTGAGGAATGCAAAAAACAGTTTCGCCAGGTTTTTCCTCGGCTACGCTTTGTGTAATAGTCGCAATTGTAGTCAAGTGCCGGGGAGGAGCAAAAGTTGAGTGCTGGCTGCCTGGCTGGACTCTTTTACAGCTCCATGACCTTCTCTTCTGGCGGCGCCTTTTGGGGGTATATCAGTGCTTTTGTTGGATGGACGATGGACGGTTAGCGGTCAATTGTTTTAGCCTCGGCAAGTGCCATTCAGATGGACAAACAGAAGGATGGGGAACGCGGGCGCAACAAAAGCTTGCGTAAAGGGTAAGAAAAAAAGTGAAATGGGAGGGGGTCTGGAATGTGTTGCCCTAAATCATGGACAATCTCACGTTTACTTACGTAAACTATCGGAGCGCCTAACTGTTTCATGTCTTGTGCTCGCCATCGATAAATAATTTATGGCCTTAACTTGGTTAAAAGTGTCCCCAGAGTCCCGCAGAGCCGCCATTGAGTCCACCCATGTCGTCACCTAACCCCAGGGTTCACTTTACCTATTTCCCATTCGTAATCCCATTTGCCACAATAAATTCACTTAAGCCTCACCCAAATGCCTTCAATTATGCCTTCAGCATGTCCCATATGCAACCTCAGGCCTCAGGTCGGCTAACCCGTTGCCATCCATCCGTCTGCCACTACTACCCCTGGCCAGGACAAGCGGCTTAGAACTTAATTTCCTGTTTCCACTCATAACCAGGCGGCGGCAGAGTGAATTTTCCTCTTCCTTCTGCGAATATATCCAGTGCTCCGTAAGGCTCTTTGGCCTTAGTCAAACACGCAACGGGAGGAACAGGAAAAAAGGAAAAAAAGGAATAAGACGGAGAAGGAGAAGTAGAGAGAGGAAACGGAGAGGAGAGTGTGCAAGTCACTTAATTAAATGTTGCTCATACGCAACGGTGTGCGGGGTACAAACAGAAGCTAGCCCTCGCTTCTGGCCTCCTCCTGCTGCTGCTGCTGCTTCATCTATTTGTACCCAAACACGGGTGCCTGCTTGGCAAATCCTTTGAGTGACTTTAAGCCATCATCGCCCTATGCAAATACACTTGGCAAAACAAGCCAGAAAGGCAACACCTGGAGATCCTTGGAGCCTTGACTGGCAGTGTGCACGTGCACCCACCACTCTGCTGCTCTGTTGCTCTGCTGCTCTCTGCTGATGTCTGCTGCTGCACAAAATCCCCTAATTAAATGTAAATTACAAAATGCTTCAATGCAATGCCAGAGAAAACGGGCTGGCGAGGGGCAACGAGGGCGAGGGGGCTGGGCTGTTGGCAAATGGGGTAAAATGGCAAGTGGCGTTGTCATCCCGAGTTGAAAATTGTAATTTTCATGCTTATTACAATATTTATGCGCGCTTAGCAGCAGCAGCAGCAGCAGCAGCAGCGCCAGAGCCATACTCCTAGACGTGTCCTTGGCTGTTGCTGTTGCTGGTGCTGGCGTTGCTGTCCTGGCATTTGACTTTTTGTCGCCTGCTCCCTTTCTGCAGTGTCCTTTTTCTTGTTGTTGAATTGTTTTCTTATCATTAGTGCTGATGAAATGTAAGCCAAGGAGGATGTCAAAGTTTCGTCCTCGGCTGCGTAATGGCTGCCATTTCCGCTTTGGCTGGGACAACACGACACGCGCCAGTACCGCCAACCAAAGTTCCAGGACACAATCCTTGTCCCCGGGCTCCTGCAAGCACCCAAGCGTCTCCCTCCTTGGTGGTGGCATCACCATCACCCCCCCCTCCAACCACCTCCAGTATCAGCTTGCAGCTTGGGAGAGAGTTGCCTTATTCCGATGGCATCTCTGGGGCTTAGGCAGATGCAAATCCCTTTGCAGTCTCTCTCTCTCTGTCTCTCTCGCCCTGTCACTCTTTTTTGCCGCCACCGACGGCGAGACATTAAGTATTAAATTTTCAGTAGCTTTGGTTTAAGGTTTCTGCTGCTGCTGCTTCTGCTGCTGCTTCTGCTGCTGCCTCAAGTATCGACACATGGAGTGGCCGTAAACGTAGGCAACATAAATCAAACCCAAAAACTATTTTCATTTACAAATTGAACTTGGAAATGGGCAAGTGGGTGGGGTGACTATAAAACAGCAGCCATTAAAAGCTAGCACACAGCAGTAAAAGACGGGGAACCAAAATTGAGGAGCGAAAGCGAACCCAAAAAAGTAAAAGTCTTGCGCGCCGTTTTACGTGCTGCGTCCTGTGTGCTGCGTGCAAAAACCGCACGCGTAATAAAGTTAACGGTCTCATATATAAATGGGGGGCGGCCACAGCTCCACAATTTAGAGAGAGAGAGAGAGGGAGAGACACAGGCCCAGGGATTCTGTGGTTTGGCAATTGCTGGAAATTTGACAGTTTTCCAAAAATTTTCGCAATTAGATGCGAACTACGACAATTGCAAATGGCGGGGCCAGCCAGTTGTAGGGTGTCCGGGAGACACCCTAGGAAGTGTAAGACTGTGCGTGTGTGTGTGTGCTCCCGTGTGTACACTCTCTCTCTCTTGGTTAACTGTTTGCCGCTGATGGAACTCTCAATGGATGAGAGGACTGAGAGAATCAGAGAAGTTGGCAGGCAGCTCCCTAAAACCCCAAAGATTTTTATTGCTTGTGACATTTACACAGCATTTGATGTTTATTGAAGTGCGTTGATGTGTGTGTGTGTGCTCTCAGCGGAAAAAGGGGTGATAGTGTGTGTGTGGGTGTGGGTGTGTGTGGTGGCAAGGTGTTCGGTTAAGCGGTTTTGCCGGAAGAGCAACTTTCCAGTTTCCCATATACTCGCGCTCGTATATACAGCTGACTATGAGTATATGTATGTGGGAGCTGCAGCAGATTCAGTGGCAAAAAGCATGGGAGCTAAATCGAGCCATTTGTGGGTTTCGTCATCTGTCTGTGTCTGTGTCTGCGCGAATAGTTCGTTTGCTTCTTTGGCCTATGTGGGTTATTAGCGAGGTGTTTATGGGATATTAATATTCAATTGTGAGGCGAAGTTTTTCGGCTGCTGTGCGGCGAACCATGGCTCAAGGGCCCATGCATGGCTGCTGCGTGAAATGAAATGGCCATTTGGCATCTTTCTGCATCATTTGTCGAATGATGTTCATTCGCTGTAGAACGGGAATGGCATCCTGCGAACCGAATGACACCAACGAAAGGTATTAGCAATGATTCCGGTGATTCTGGCAACAGAAAATACATTTTCCCCATAAGCAAATGTTGAGTTCTCTTAAAGTCTACAGAACCTGCAGCTACCTTACTTTTGCTTTAAAGGTGTTTGCTTTTCCCCTCTCCCCTTAGCTGTTCCACACACTCTGCGTCGTCTCCTCCCCCACCCCACACCATCGCCGAATTCTGCTCTACTTAGGCACATGCTGATGACACATCCTGGCGAAAGTACGAGTATGCGTAGCCAGCATGCTAAGCAATGTCTTTGAGGTGTGTCAGCCCCCAAACCCCCCACCCACCACTCTCTCTCCATTGTCCGTATATTTTGCACATGTCTTTACACGTATGCGTGTGTGTGTGTGTGTGTGTGTGTCCATGTGACCTTTAAAGCATTTTTGGCTCCCAGAGTACATTGTTGTTGAAAATTGTGCCTTTGGTTTGGGCTTTTGGCCGGGAGCGACAGGAAGCGGACGGCAGGAGGCAGGGGCAGCAACCGCATATTAGCTGAGGGGGGGAGGTGGGCGGAAAAACATTTCCAACCTGCTTACCCTGATCAGCTTTTAAGCTTTGCTCCTTTAAAGTCTCAACTCAATGGAAGCGAGGGAAAATGCGTATTTAAATAATTTCCCAAAATTTCCCCCTAAGCTGTTTAAATACTCTCGTACTCGGCGGCGGCTGGGCGGCTGGGCGACTGGGCGACTGGGCTAGGTGCTGGTACTGGTGCCGGGTCTGGTGCAAACATTTGCATAAGAAATTTAAGCTTGCTTTTTGCGTGCGACTCTGCTGAGCATTATTTACACTCAATTCACCTTTTTCGTGTCGTTTCGTTCTCTCACTTATATCCTCTGCAAATTCGTTTCTTTACAGCATGAAAGATTGAAGCTTTCCCATAGAAACACCAAAGAAAAGCAGCAAGTGACAGAGAGATAGAGAGAGAGAGGGAGGGAGCTGCAATCCATTGCTCCTTTCAGATCCTTTCATTTGCTCGGTTGGACGTCAGTGGAATTCATGAAATTATGGCAAGTGTGGCATTCAAATCCCGAGAAACCTGAGGTAAGATTTAAGGCACTGAATTAAAGTGCAGAAACGCACCATGGAATCTACAATCTATGCAAATCAAGAAACAAAAAACAAAACAGACTCTGCTGCAGGGATATGCTGGCTGGGAGAAACTTTCCATCCAAATCTGAACTTAAACTCGATTTTACTCGTCTTCAAAAACTTGAACTAGAAATTTGCAGAAGTTTTACACAACTGACCCACATAGACAGATAGACAGACACTTCCTTTCGACTATCAACGGCCCAACTCCATGACTCCTGGACGTTCTCTTGAAAAAATGACAACAACCCAGCCAAGATCTGTGTGCTGGTTGGGCGCGGGGGACTGGAAACGTTTATCTGTGCCAACTAATTCCTACAAATTACAAGTGGACCAAAGATTCTGTCCCAGCGCCTCTAATAACTACATGGCTGGTTATTATAAAAGTTTTTCCATTTCGTAAAACTTTTGCGAAATGGAAATTCAGCTTTCCCTTCCCTTCTGCTCATCGTAGTTTTACTTGTCTCAAAAATACAAAAAATACAAAAATGTGGAAAACGAACGACACACGCACATGAAAATGAAACGATCAAAATGTGTAAAAAGTGAAGCAATTTACTGGGACACGTTCTCCCATTACATGGATTCGAAGGATGCATGCAGTCCGCCCTCCCAGTCACAGTCTCAGTCCCAGAGCGGGTGCAGACTTAAGAAATTTCATGCACACACACACACACACAGAGACAAGTTTTGCAGTGACTTTGTAAAGCTTTTGGCTCCTGGATACACCCGGTCTTTCTTTGTGTGGCAGGATTTGAATTTGAAATTGAATACAAGTTTATAACGTGAATTGGCAAATATGGAGCTCCTGAAATGGGGAGTCCACGCACGACAGACATTGTCGCACTCTCAAAGGAGAGGCAGAGACGAGAGACAGAGAGAGAATGGCTCTCCATATGGAAGAAACAAGTGGCTCAAGTAGCAAACTCTAGAAAGGGCTTTGCACTGGGCCATGAAGAAACTTGGCCATGGATTCACTGCTCTGCTGCCCTGCCTGGTCTTGGACTCGTATTCTTACTGGCACTCGCACTCGTACTGCTGCCTGGCCCCCTTTGTCGTTTGATGCACATTGAACATTGTTGCCACAATTCCCTGCCGTCTCCCCCTACCGCTTCCCCTACCGGCGAACTTTCATTTGCGTAAGTCGTTTGCCAGCGCATACGCCGTGGGGCAGATTGTTTCTCGCCTTGTTTCTCCTTTTCTCCATTCAAATTGTTTTCTCTTTGCATTATAAACATAAATATGAGAACTTGTTCTATATGCAAACACACACACACATTTATATCCATATATGCATATACATATATGCATATATATAGTCCGCTATGTGGAAAACTCAACACAGTAACACAGTTGCATGCGTTATATGCATTGCCGATCCACACACAATCTGTGTGTGTGTGTGTGTGTGTGCGCCATTTACCTAGAAAAGAAAAACTGCCGTTGCTGTTGCCGTTGCAGTTGCATTTGAAATACAGGTCAAGTTTCTTGGTCTTGAAAGGGGTGTGTGGGTAGGTGGAAAATAACAATGATACGGGGAGTACACACACACATGTCGATAGTTGTGGCAACTGTTTTACTTAAGCTGCAAGTGTTTTGTGCAATAATCACAGTCAGAGCAGATGCATGACTACGACTGTAATTTGTCACTTGCTTCACCAACTAAACCAACAATAAAAAAACGCTATAAAAGACGAATGAATCGGAGAATCAATTCAGTGCGAGCGGCCAACCTGAACGACCAACACCACACATAATGGAAGCAATCACTCTGTTCGCTTGGATCTGCCTGATCGGCACTGCGGTGGCAGTGCCAATGCCAATGCCCGCGGGCACTAGCCCAGGGGTGGTGCACTGGACGACGGGCGTCCAAACCAAAGGCTCCACGGCTCTTAACCATGCAAAGACAGTAACTGCCGGTACAGTACCCACAGCACAGCCCGTGAAAATGACAACGTTGAAGGACCTGCCAGCCAGCGCTTCCCAGGGATCCGCGACGACCGTCGACATAGCACCATCCGTTGTGCCCGAGGCCATAGCAGCGGCATCTAGTGAGGATACATCTACGTCTGCAGCGCCCACTACGGAGACTGTGACTGTTACCACCACGGAGGCCGCAGCCACCACAGCCACCACTGAGCAGAGCACCACGAAACAAGCCGCGGCTCAGCCAGCCAAGCTCAAGCAGCGTAAGATGAAGAAACACGTATGAGAAGGAGGTTGAGGGTCAGGCAAAGCATACAGAAATATCTCAAATACCCATAGAGAATAATACAAACGCAAATAATACAAGTAATCAAAATAAAAATACAAACAAACGAATAAAATATTTGAGGAGTAAGTAAGGGACATCAGGTATCAATAAACGCAGAATAAAAATACAAACAAACGAATAAAATATTTGAGGAGTAAGTAAGGGACATCAGGTATCAATAAACGCAGAATGGGCACCCTGGGACTGGCTTAAACTCAATGATTTACAAAATCTACAATATGCATTACACACATGCACATCACAACTCACACGATCCATTCCACCCCACACCCCACTTGACTGACTGCGTCCGATAGTGCTGGGTAGCGCACAAATCTACCAGCTGGCACCCATCGGCTACGACTCCACCGTAGCAGGCAGCAGCGGTCAGGGTGCAAGAAATTTGCAGATCACGCAAAAAGCCTTGCATACCCCCAGGCTGAGCGCAAGGCAATTAAGGAAGTGCATACTTCGAGGCTTAACCAGGCAGCACAGGTGGCACGTGGGAAAAGGTCACGGACCCGACCAACCTCCGATCCCCCGCTCAGGCGGTGTCCCGGTCAACGGGACGTCGGGGACCGGGGAGGGGCGGTATATCCCCCATCGTGAAGCCAAGGGGAAATCTGTGGCCAGCGCGGGAGCCACCCAGTGCATACCAGGAAGCAGAAGAGATGGAAGCAGCAAACCCTTTCGCGGGCAGCTCGCTCATCCGTTCGCCAGCATCCACGTCAACTCCAGCAGCGGGACTGAGCACGGACCCGGACCCTAGGGAGACCCCTAAGAGGACGAGAGACCCTGCCAGCCCGGCAAGCTCGCAGAGAACGACGCCGCCCAAGAAGAGCAAGGCCTCCCAGGAGGCAACGTGCCTCGAAAACCTCGTGGAGTTGGGGGAACTATTGCAGGAGGTGACCACCAAAATGATGGATAAGGCTTCGCGCCACATTACCATCCCTACGAGGGCGACGTTTGTGCGCATGAAGGTGCTGCACTCGAGCATCCTCGATGCGAGGCGAGCAGCCGCTAAGGGCGAAGGCGGCAGGCAGGAAGGCCACAACGCCGAGTTCATGTGCCCGAAATGCTCGCAGAGCACACAGAGCGCTGATAAGGAGCAGCAGACGACGAAAGTCTGGACCAAGGAGGCCGCAGCGCAGACGGAGCCATGGCGAAGGCTGAGCCAGCCGGCCGTGGAGGGAGCATCGGTAGCGGAGCTGGTTCCGCCACCCCCACGCCCAGCGCAGCGGAAAGGCGCCCCAGCACACAGGAGGACCCGAAGAAAGCCCCAAATGGAGCCTCAAGAAGAGGACGCGACTCACAGCGTTGCTAGGAACCCCGAGAGCCCAGAGAACTCGGAGAGCGGATGGAACGTGGTAGCCAAAAAGCCGAGGTCCACACGCCGCGCACGCCCAGACGCGATCGTGGTGCAGGCAGGCGGCAAGTCATACAGCGAGGTGCTGGCCATGGTGACTAGGAGGGAGGACAAGCAGCTGGCTGACCTGGGAAGCTGCGTCAGCAAGGTACGCCGTACCATCAACGGCAATCTTCTGCTGGAGGTGGCCAAAGATAGCGCGGAGAGCGCTGAGGCCATGAAGGAGAGTATCGCGCGGGTCCTCGGCGATGTAGCGTCAGTGCGCGCCATGACGGAGGACAGCAAGGTGGTGGTGCTGGAGGTACGAGATCTCGACTCCCTCGCGACGGAGCGGGAGATCTGCGCCGCTATCGCGAGCCAGTTTGAAATCGAGGAGGGACGAGTGAGAGTGCGAAGCCTGCGCCGGGGCTACGCAGAGTCGCAGCTGGCAGTGGTCAGCTTGCCCTTCTCCCTGGGCAAAGCCGTCCTACAGCGCGGTGAGGTGCGGATCGGTTGGACCGTCTGCAGGATCCGGGAGAGAGAAGGTCTCCCAAGGTGCTACAGATGCCTGGAACCCGGGCACATTGCGGGCAACTGCAAGAGCACGGTGGATAGGAGCGGCTGCTGCATCAAATGCGGAGAGAAGGGGCACAAGGCAGCCGAGTGCAGCAATGAGCCTTCGTGCTTCATCTGCTCAGCAGCTGGAAAGAAGGAGGTCAGGCACCAGGCAGGCAGTAGAAGCTGCCCAGCCTCAATCAGCGGGGTCGGAAACTCCAGGCCAAAATGCAGGTGATTCAACTCAACCTGAATCACTGCAGAGCTGCGCAGGATCTCCTGACGCAGACGGTGCGCGAACTGGGTTCGGAGGTGGCAATCCTCAGCGAGCCTTATAGGGTGGGCAACAGCAGCGAATGGGCCACGGACCGCTCTGGCAAAGCGGCCCTGTGGCTTTGCGGAGCGAAGGCACCACAGATGCGCGACACCAAGTCGGCAGAAGGATTCGTCCGTGCAAGAGTAGGCGGGATCTGGCTATATAGCTGCTACTTGGCACCCAGTCTCTCGCTGGAAACATTCAGCCGGATACTGGACGAGCTGAGCAGCGACCTGCGAGGACGGTGCAACGTCGTGGTCGGGGGCGATTTCAACGCCTGGGCCCAGGAATGGGGGTCCTCCCGAACAAATGCCAGAGGGCGCACGGTGCTAGAGGCTTTCGCCTCTCTGGAGTTAGCCCTGCTCAACGAAGGGTCCCAGCAGACCTTCAACAGGGCAGGCGCGGGGTCGGTAATCGACCTAACGTACGCCAGCAGCTCGCTGGCACGCCACACCAGATGGAGGATCAGCGATGTCTACACC